TGGTAGTGACACTAATTGATATAGTAAAGAACAGCTAACCACGCTAGCAGGCCAGATAAGCCAGCATGGGGCAGTCGTAGCTCCCAAGTTATCACTAAAATATTTTAAAAAAGCGAAGATCAATATCAATTCTTATGTCGCAAAGTTGAAGATGTTGGTCATATGTACATTATGGTCTAGTAGAATGAATCCGAGAGGATATAAGCAGCATCTTAACTATTTATACATATCATAAACGTGCATAAGAGAAATATAGCGCTTTACCTTGCTTGTGGACAGCGGAGGGAAGAGGAAGGTACGGGGTTTCCAACCCGTGTTAAAACGGACAAATCTCTTAATTTCTCGCGAGAACTTAATGCTTCGTTTTTAACGACACAGGATGGTTATGTTGAGAAGATGAAATAAAAAAGTTACTAAATCAACTAGAATTCCAAATAATAATTACTGTAATTAACAATAATAGTTATAAAAAAACAACAACAGTAAAATAATAATATATAGCCTACTTAAATTAATTTAAATGTGATTGACCAAAAGAATATTAGCTTAAAGACAACATTTAACCCAAAAATCACAAGAACAATTTTAGAACAGCAGCAGTGTCTGGGAATTAAAACCAAGTAATAATGAAAATACAATTTAAGGTATGGTAAAAGGCAAAAATAAAAACATAAATTTCAAGTACAGAGCAAGAAACATAATTATTTCCCTTGCCTAGAATGGATTTTAATTCAGTCCATTTTTATCAAATTGCCCTAATCAGAGTTCAGTGTGCCTATGCCATAGAATCTAACCTAATTACCTCAAATGTACCTCAGTAAAATGTGATTGTGAGAGAATTATTCCATTGGAATGTTTTCTAGTAGCAGGACAGGAAGCTCTCAGAGTTTAAGAAGATGGATGGGGTCACTACTTGAAAGTAAATTAACATACCGGTGGGCTACTAGTATTGCCCAGTGCAAGTCCAGAATTGTATTCAATGGAGAATATATAGCAATACTTGACATTTACTATTATTCAATCATTCTAAGTGAATTTGAGCTATTTTTCCAAAAGATGGGATAAAGATTTTGTCTCTAGATGTACAAAGGTAGCAAAGTTAAACCTTGAAAGTTTGGTCCCTTTCGGAATGACTACATTTATGTCAAATGAAATGTTCATTTTGCCTCTCTATAAATGTTTGTAAGTTAAACAAGGCACGTGAATATTTGTGGTTATTCAAGAGTAGGGTATATTAAATATCTCACATTTTCTCTATTTCTGTTTATTTGCACATGTGTTATTTTTAAAGGATTAAAAAGACAGTTCTTCACTTCAAAATCAAACTTTTAAAAAGTTGCTTGCTTGAAAGAATTATAAAACTCCTAAACAAACCCACTTGTACTCAAATACAGAGTTAGGAAACATAAAATGGCAAACAAAATAATGTACTTTTTTGATTCTGGATATTGTTACATTTCACACACAAAAAAATAATACATTACACAACAATGTTTTACATTTTTTATGTGAATGTTGGCAAATGTTAAAGCAAAAACACAAATATGAAGTACTGATACAAGCAAGCAAGATGACATATTATCCTATCAAATTAGTTTGACATTTCATTAGTGTCTTTAGAATTTACTTCATTTAGATATAATCTTTGATTTTATAAGGCAATTACATATAATCTGTTACCAACCAAGTTTAAGGGCATGAAAAAAACCATCAAAGAGGGATTATTTATTTAGATTACGCATATTGTGTTGATACATGGCATAAAATAAAAGCAAACAAGAACAATTATTGTAATTATTTTTATCACATTTAAATTTCTGTTATAATTTTTCATAAGCATCCTTCCAATGCATAGTGTTTTGGAATAAAAATCTATTTTTTACCTATGTTTCTGTGCCTCAGCTTTATGAAAGATATGTGTTGTTTTTTTTAAGGCAGCCTGTGGATTCAGGTCAGCCTGCCCCTGCCTGGAGCATGGAGCTGTTAGCAGAATAATCTATACACATATCTCAGCTTTGGGGAATAAAGGTTCAGTTCTGCAGTTCAAGGAAAGTCATTTCCATTAAATTGAAATGAAATATGAACATTACTATTGTATAAATAAAGATCTGCAGCAGCTTCAGCCTTTTTTTCTTAGTTGATATATAGATGGAATTTTAAATTATATGTCCTTTTGTTTTCCACACAAAAAAAGGTTGTTTATATAGTCATATTGCAAGTGTATATTTATTACTTTTTACTAATGTGGCATAGTTCTAGATTCAGACTGAAACTTAAAATTCATTAAGAAGGTTCTTTTTGAAAACTGTGTGCAAGAGGACTGCTTGCTAAAGATTGTGGCTGCTGTCTATTTTTGTGTTAAAGTCCTTGAAGATTACATTTCTTGATCACCTTGAACACTGGTCTACACTTAACATACACAAGAAAAATTATTCAAGTAAGAATTCAGTTCACATTAGCAACCCCATTTCTGATAGTTTTGCAAATACTGGAACCACTCAGCCTCTTTCTCACCAGGTTTCTCACCAAAGGGCCTGTCACACCTTGCCATTGGGGACAGTATATGCCTGACGTACGGAAAACCTGGTAAATATGCTGGCATATGTTGGATAAGATATGGGTACGTTTTGTTTAAGTGATTCTGAATCTGCTACCACTGCAAAGCCTTCTTTCTTTTTCCTTTTTTTTCCTTCTATTTATTCTTTTTTTTTTGGTGGGCGGTAAACATTAGCTAGGTTAACACCGCAATCAAATACATCTTTTTTTAATGCAGGCCGGGCGCCTCCGAGAGCATTGGTGTCCCCCTCAGGACACTAGCTTGTGCATCATTCATGGGATATTTGTGGTTATATTTCTTTTGTTAGACTGTGCATATGTGGTTGGCTTTAAATTTGTATTTTTATTTAGTTGATTACTGCAAGTTAAGTGTGGATTATGCTTGGTGTTCAATTTAATAAATGACAATTCTCAGATATTGTGCTGCTCAAAGTCTTGAGACTGGGGAATTGGAACAGAGAAATAACAAGGTTTTGTATTTCATTGTCACAGAATTTCCCTTGCGGATGCAAAATGTTTGATCACTCAGGCAGGACCTGAAACACCCTAGTGCTGTCCCTCGGATTCCCAGCCAGAACTCCAGATATTGATAGAAAATGTTTCCTTTTTTGATCCAGCACTTCAGTCTTTTAAAAAAAAACTCCCTAAATAAAGCGTGGGCTTTATTTAGGCCCATGCCTGTAATGAGCAAAGATTTTAAATTTGTCTAAAACGATTAATAACTGCTTCATCCATACCAGGGTTTCTAAGAAAAGCTTAAGCAGAGCTGGGACCGCTCCTGAATTCAGACTGCTGTCAATCTGCAGGACAGAAGACGCTACTGTTGGTGTCAGCTGCTTGAACAGTTTGGTAGAATTGTTGGCGTTGGGAGAACCTGAGAGCTTTACATTACCAACAGACTTCTGCAGAAAGGACGGTCAGAAGCTGTGAACAATAGGAGGGCAAGGAGACTGATGGGTCATGATAAAGGGGTGTGATCAGAGGCCCAGTAAAAGCAACTTAAGTAACCTCTCTTCTAATAAAAATACATAAAGCTTTAAAAACTGAAGGAGTAGACTCACCCCGAGATATTTGGGACTTTAGCATAAAATCAATAGTTTTAAAAAGCACCAGAGGTTTGTGACAGTTTAAAGCAATAATGCCTGTGAAGTTTCTTTTTTTCTTTTTGAGCCCTTTACAGTCTTCCTACAGTGCTGCCAGCTCCTCTTCATTATCTGAAAGGAAACCTCCAGTTTGTCGTTTTTCCAATTTGTGTTCAGCTCTATGGCCCTCTGTCATACAGCACAAGTCATTTAGTCATGGCTAACATTTAGATTTTGTTAATATAGTCTCAAAAGCAGCTACAGTATTAAACACTGTCTGGCAGGTAGTTTGAAACCAAGAGCTAAAGATGCAGCATCACACTGGGGCTGTCTAGCAGTTGGAATGGCCATCTTTCTGGACGAAAGGTCATTGTCTCTCAGAATATCAATGGGCATTTCCAGAGTTTGTCACATATAACTGAAGTATAAATCTTTAGAAGAATGAAGTTCCTCTTTAGTACCATCCTGGATTTTCCCCTGGCCAAAATTTCATGAAAAATATTTGAGAATGGATGCAGGGGTAGATTTACATTAACAGGTGTCAAGTCCAGATCATCAATTTTGTTCTCAAACACATGTTCATCATGTTATGGAGCATTGTTCCCATGAGTCTAATAGAACCTCTTAATTGAACCATTACTTTTTTTTTCTTTTAATAACCCACATGTTCATTATTGCTGCCATTATAAATTTATTTTAAAAACATTTTTCTTTGATATATTTTCTAGAAGTCCTTTTATATTCTCTATGTCCTGCTTTTGTTTCCTTCTGAATTTTGACTTACAACCTAGTCATAAACCATAATAGTGATATCTATAACAAATACTGTGAGCTGGATTATACTATGTAAAAAGTACTTTAATAGTCTTTAATATGGTAGGAATCCCAGAATAGAACTGTATAGCATATCTCCATTAATAATGAAGATTTTTTTGATTAAGGTGGATTTTGAAACCTTTTAGATAATATAATTCAACCTTAAATACATTGTTCTGTTATATTTGTCTTCAGTTATTTGACCTTGCAAAAATCACATTGATTAATAGTTTTTATCTTCATTTTTCCGCACAAATTGAACATCTCTGGGAAAGTAAAAAAAAAAATACAGAGAAAGGTTACTCTTTGCTTCACCTTATTTCAGTGTGTGCCTGTGCTCCTTTATTTGCATAGCTCTCTGGATGGCAGAGGTGATGTTGCCCTTTGCACATCTTAGATGGAAAGGGCAGCAGTGCTCCAACATTGACACAATTGATATGTTTGCAGAGACAAGAGAGATAGAAGGCAGGTTGATAAGCATGAGGTTTATAAATCAGGTTCATTCTGTCAGTGAGGAGTTAGGCAGCAGAGCTGGGAGGAAGAGAAAGATATTCTAAAAAAGGGAATAAAAAAGAGTTAAGACTTAAGAAAGTCAGAAAAGAGATTTAAGTACTGTATCTGCCTCATCAAAGGGACTTAAAAAGGTAATTTTACTCTTTATTTCTAATTTTCTTTCCTAAAATCATACAAACATCTTGGTAACCCTTTTTTTTAATCTTTCTTACTCATTAGTAAAAAGTGGGACCATATGACTGACTTTAAATATATATACTGATAAATTACACCCTTAAAGTCCATTTAACAATTTGAGTTGAAAATTCAAACAAGGTGGATTAAAGCCATTTAATTATTTCAGTAAATCAAGTCTGCCCAAGCCCTCCAGATGGCGAGACAGGGGATGACTGTATAAAATGATTATAAAGTGTTATAGGAGTTATTCCTGCCAGCCATGATTATTATTGAAGTGACGACTAACTGCAATTGGTTCGAAAAGGTCAAACTAAATACATTGAACTGACAGGTTGCATGCTGAGGGAGTAAATCTGCTGTTTCAATATTCTTCTACTTTCCTTTTTGGGAAATGATTGTTTGACCAAAAAAAATGCAGTAAAAGTTGCTGCCAATCATTTCGAATGCTGGAAGTGACTAATAGGTCCTCAAAAGTATTTGCGTCTTTTTGGTTTAAAAAGACTTAGGTCCAGGTCCAGAAAATAAAAATCTTGGAGACACTGAAAGGTTTGAAGGAATTTCCACACTCAACAACGAAGACTTTGGGCAAATTACCTTGTTAAGTGAAAAGGATGAAAAAAAACTAAAGAGATTTTTTACTTTATATGCACCTGGATCCTCCACGTTTGATTTGTGCAATATAATCAAAAGGATACATGACACAAAATTTCAAATGTAGGGCTTAACTGAATATCATCTGTCAAGTTGATACAGATTCTGAATTTGATTAAGGCCTGTACTTTGACTTCAACTGTAGCTCTGGTTGTAAAAACCTTTTTCCTGACCTGTCTGATACTATCCTAGGTTTCACAATGCTTTTAGCCAGATAACTAAAAATTTGCTAGAGTACTTGTTTGCATACACAAGGCTACACCATTTATACAGTCAATATGAGAAATATATACTAAAAGTCAGTCCCAATGGAAATTCATTAAAGAAGTAAATCCACTTACCTTAGTGTTAGGTTTCTCATCCACCAAGGTGAGCCCTGAGGTGAGCGGTTACATCTTTGGTATCAAATTAAGTTAAGGAATTTAGTCTACAGACCTTAACTTTAAGCTATTTTCAAAACCTTTAGGGCGATTTTTTATTTTTCTTATTTTTATTTTTTTCGAATGACAGAACTTTTTGGCAAATATGTAGACAATCAAGTAAACAAGGAACAGTGTTTACACATCTCTACAAAAAGCAGTCAAGGGTCATTTATGTACAACACATGCAATTAGAGTATAAATAAAACTTTGATTTGCCTTTAGCTTTGAAATAAAACAATTTAACTACAAATATTTAAAAATGTGTTGGTCAGTGTCATTTAATCACATTGATCATTTAAAGGTTGTGCAAACATGATTTCACAAAATGTGAGAGAAAGTGAAGATTTTGTACAGCACTCTCCACAGTTAGAAGTTCTGTTGAATGAATACTCTTGCTAAATGATTGAGGCTATTTGTGTCTATGTAAAATACAGAGAGGATAAATAAAACAAGGTCAGCAGAGAGTTAAAAAAAAGACAAAAGAAACGGTCGGCCGTCACCCAGCTTTGGTGCTTGTTGTTGCGTGTTTGCATGATGCTCACATCCTCAGTGGAAAACCTCTGTCAAGTGAGGTCCAGCCTGACCTTTTCACTCCCTGGGCCCGTTTCCAGCTCTCCAATATCTATCAAAAAAATCTTCTCTCTTTGCGCTGGGAGCACAAACTTACATCACATTCTCAGTTTTTCAGTACTTTCTCTTTCAGCCCTGCCAGATGTTTTAGGTATTCTGCACATGCACTCTCTGTGCTTATCCTCAATATTCCCTCAACTCTTTGTCACTCCTCTCCCATTTATATTTCTCCTCTCCTTTGATGTTCTATCTGTTTGACCATTATTTTAACAACCTATGCTAGTAGGAAGCATAGGTTCAGACTGCTATCAATCTGCAGGACAGAAGATGTAGCTTGTGGAAGACCTCTGTGGGAACTTAGGGTCCTGCCAGCAGCTATTTTAGGAGTAAACAAATCTGCATTTGCATAAGCACTGATGGATACACATTTGTTCTAAAACCTGGAATGTTTTAAAGCTTTTTTTTTTAACTGGAGGATAACTTTCTTCTCTCTTTATTTTCCCTCAGACATGGAGTTCATTTGGCTATACTCCCTTTGCCAGTGCACTCTATCTTTATTTGTGATTGTGGTCAGTGTGAGGTTGTGCATGGCGGTCAGCAGCAGCAGAGCTGTAACTGATGTCCAGCAAGGAGCTCAGGGTGCAGGCATCCAACCTGGGAGTGTTTCATCCTGCCTCCGGCTGTGTCTGGGCTGTGTGGGGGCCGTGGGTGGTGCCATAGGAGTGCCCGTGACTCTGTTGCTAAACCTTCAAACATCCCAGTGTCTCTACACATGCATGGCACTACTCTGTTGCCCTTTACTGATCAGGCAGTTCACCATGTTCCTGTTAATTCTGCTCACACTGGACGCCTATCTACAGCATCATTTAGCAGACAGGTGGGTGTACATATTAAAAAATCTGTATCTCTATTTAAGCGTGAAAAGTGTTGTGTAATATAAAAATATTCAGGAAGAAACGATAAGTTGACTTTTTTTGTGGTGTTATGGTGCTTCTTAGCTGTGAGGTACTATAGGAAGAACCACAAGTCTCTTCAAAATTACTACTACATTAGAAACATTAAACTAATGTCTAAGAGAAAAATCTGAAATATAGCTACAATCCCCATTATCTTTGCTAAATAAACAAATGTCATCATATAAACTTTATTATGTTGAAAACTGTCCGAAATCTCCAAAATACATCCTTTCTTTAATTTCTGTTTGTTTCCAGACAACTTTTGAGATTGATCAAAGGTTATTAAGGACTTTCTGAGTTGCAAAAGCTGAAAGTCAAATCCTAAAAAAGAGGAAACAACCCTTTAAATAATAATAATAATAAAAAAAAAATGAATCACAATTATCCACTGTTTTTACACTTGATAGGTTTCTGGGTTTTAGCATGTTAGTGCTAAAATCTATTCATAATATTATTGCTTTGCTTTGTTTACCTTGCTAAGGAGAAAGAAAATGATGTTCTTTTTTCGTTCTTTCTCAAAAATCACCAAAAATAATTTCATAATCTAATGACTCTAGTTTGTAAGTACAGTCTATTATCTGTTAATGGCTTGACTGATCAGAGCTAAATGACTTGGTAAATAACCCAGCTGAAAACTGGAAATGTTTGGTTCAAAATGAGTGCAAAAATAGTCAAGGTTAGAAAGAAATGATGACGGAATATCACTAAAGACTTTTTAAATACCTTTAATTTAAATCAAGTAACCAGCAAAAGATAATAACAAACACATAATTTATTTTAGTTGTATATAAACTACTGGGAAAAGACAATGAACAACACGAGCTGGTCTTTATACAGACTGGGGGGGCAGTGCCTGTCTGCAGCTCCAGGTCTTCAGCCCATCATAGCGCAACACATGCACAAACAAACATGCATATACTCACTAATATCTAAGGGCAACTTTGAGGTACAGTGGAAATTAGGACCATGGTTTTGGATACTGGATGAAATCTGGAGTAGCTGGAGAAAAAGCCATTCATGCTTGAGTAGAATTTATAAACTCCATGCAAAAAGACCCCATGCCAGTAGTGAATTCCCAGACATTCTCGCTGCATCTCTGTGCACACTCAAATAAAGACAGTCTGACTACAAATAAGGAAGCATTTTTTTTATACCCCCCCTTTTGTTATTTATTTGTTGATCAAAAATTAAACTAGCTAATTTCACCAGCCAAACCTGTAGAGTCACAAATCCCTTTAATAAAACCTGCCTGGCAACATTAAGACATCAAACACATAAGATTTAAATGATATAAATAAAGTCAAGAACAGCTAAGGGGGAAAGTCATTGTTCATTGATCTGAAAACGATTACAAAGACATTAATAAGGCATTGAGACTTTAGTGAACTATAGTGAAAGCCACTGTCCAAAACTGGTGGAAAATATTTCACCATGGTGAATCTGAATCACGAATCATGTGAAGTATGCACATGAACCTGCAGCTGTAGATAATTCATTGAGTTGCTCTGGGGACAAACATTAGCAGGTAAAAGCATTGATATCGTTTCCTCAGATCAACTCTAAGCTGTGCATGGTAAACACCTTTGCCACCTAGCCTTCCTGCAAGCATACTGGATTATGTTAGTTTACACTCAGTCAATACAACCAACCGGACTTCCCCTCTCAGCACTTTGCAACACAGCCTCTCCTCCACAAAAATCCATCAACAGTCTTTAAGCTTTATTAAAGAACTCTCTTGCCTTCATGGAAGAAGTGTATACATTGTTTTCCAGGAGCATGAGATGTTGGTGTGATGAAATTCTTAAATTCAAAAAGAAATGACTACATTTACGTACTTGTTCACATTAGATGAAATGAACACTAGATGTGCAAAGTTTGGAACTAAGTCCACATTGATATATATTTTGAGAGCAAAAATGAAGCCCGTACTTTGATATATTACTTGAATAAAATTTGTCAATGAAACATTTAGTTTGTGTTCCTTTGGAAATATGTTTAAAAGCCACCAAACAAAGGCCTAAATGTTTTAGATGTCTGACAAGAGCTTTAGAAGAAGGTTTGAAATTAATCAGTTTCTTAACTGATTTTGCATATTTTTTTGTTGGCATCGACAAGCAGCGGAGCACGTAGTTGAGCACGTTGCCAATAGAAATATTTAAAAGTGATAGCTACAACTTGAAGTACTCCCAGCCAGTAAAAAGCGCCCTCACGCATGCTTGCCTGCTCTCCTTCTTTACTGTTTGTCAGCCATTTGCCAGGTCCGCTAATGCTAATTGTGATCAAACCAAACATTTAACCTATCAGGAAAAAGCAGCAAACTCTGCATGCCTTTTGAGGCCCTTTGCTTGAGCAATGCGCCCCCTTGTTTAGCTTATTTTTGAAGAAGTCCTTTCTCAGATCTATCACAGAGCTACTGGAATCTGGCAACACTTGAGCTCCATCTCATGTGACTTCAACCTGTTATTCCTATTGGTGCAAATGTTTTTCACGTAGCTGTTGGCATAATATCCGAAACATTATGTTACACATTTTGGACCCGTTAAAATGTACAAAACAATTATTTGTAGAATATTTTCTTCAGTAGAAGTAACACACCGCAAAAATGAACTAGAAATGAGTAAACATTTCTTAAAATTACCCTTAATTTGAGTAGGTAAATAAGACGGTTTGCCAATGGAATGAGTATTTTTACTCCTAAAATAAGATAATTAGATAGTATGCACTTAAAATAAGAAGTGTAATTGTTTTTTGTCATCTTAAATGTAAATTACCTTGTTCCATTGGCAGAATGTCTCACTTGCCTCCTCAATTCAAGAAAAAATGAACTTAAAAAAAAAAAAAAAAATACTTTTTAAATTTTTGCACCACTCTAGACGTTCTGTGGCTAAATTAATTGCTATGATGAACAAGTAGGTGGTACCTGTGACACACAGGTACCTTTATTACAAACTGAGGCTAATTTCAGAAATGACTCTTAGCCAATGCATTTTCTTTCTTGCAGGTACTCTTCAGTGGTGACCCGTCGGCGAGCTCTGTGTGTGGTCCTGTTGTGCTGGTTGGGCTCAGTTCTCTCATCCTTTGCATTGTTTATAGGCTCAGATTTCCTCAGCTCCTCTAGAAGTAAGCTCCCTGGTCTCAGCACTGAAGGCCATGGATTAAAAAGCAACTGGACAACCTCTTCCCCCCCTCCTAGTCCTACCTCAGTCCCAAGGTACTTTCAAGACCGTCAGGTAATTGCGAAGTTCCTTCCATATGGAGGCTTCTTGTCAAAGTTCTATGTGGAAGATATGAACAATTTCACCTACGCAGAGATCCATAGCAGCCACTGGGGCGTTTGTGTTCCTGAGGCCATTGTTCGTCCCCAGTTCCTTGTCTATATCCATGGGGTGACCGTGTTTATCCTGCCCTTTCTTTTCTTATTGGCGATTTACTTAGACTTGCTGTGCATTAAGCCTAAAAAGACCTGTTTTAGTAACGCTGATGTAGAGAAACGATCCAATCTGCTCCGTGTCCTGGTTCTGTCCATGACTCTTTTGGTTCTGCTTTGCTTGCCGATCTATATCATACAGGCTCTCATGCTTTTTAACTCCCATGGTAACCTACCTGTCTGGGCCCATGATGGTGCCATGTTCCTCTTTGAGGTATACACTCTCGTGCCCCCAATACTATTTACTCCTCCAAGGAAGCCTGTGAGGGAGCAAACAATGTCCTTCCCTTTAACTATTTCAAACTTCCCGTCTTCACTTGCCCATTTAAGAGGAAAATCTGTTCACATGGCACTGCGTGAGGTGTTGAAAAAAGCTCCATGGTCTTCAGCTAAACATTCTCTTGAAACTAAAGCTTAGTATTTTGAGTAAATTTTCACAAAGTCAACAGTAGGCAGACCATTCTGCTTTCCAATTTTTTTTAAAACAAATGACTTGGATTAAAAAGTTTTTTTACTGCTAACTTTCTGCATTTTCAATGAAATGCGATTCATTTTATTTATATAGCATAAATTCACAAAAATGTCTTCTCAAGGCACAGAGACAATTCAACCAGATCTTACAGTCAGATTGATTCAAAGTTTTCTATCTAAGGAAAACCAGTTGATTGCATCGACTCATTGACTCAAAGCCAATCCCTCACTCCAATATTCACCTTATCAACAACACATGATGTGCATATAATGTGCTAACTTGCAAACAGAAAGGCCTTGTCATTATCAGGTCCCTCACCAAATGTCAGAAAATTAAGTCTCCTGATGATAACCCCAATCCTGATCAGAGATGCCTGTTTTCTTTGGCTGGTGCTTCCTGTGGGCTTTAATCTTCTCCTTTTATTAATCCTCACTAAGCTAATGACAAGAGATGTAGATATATGTTTGACAGAGTCTAATTAAACATTCCCTAATAACATAGTAGTCCAGAGAGATTCTGGTATTGTAGGCAAAGGCATAATTAACCCTGGTTATGACACAATATTCATGGCTGCTTTGACTTTAGTTGTGCATACAATGTGCTGCTCTGTTGAAATAAAGAGGGTCATGCTCGCATTAATTAGCTTGTTCATCTCGTATCATATTTGTCTTCAGAAATCACTGATGAAGTAAAAAGATGAATCCATCTTCCTGTTTAAAGAATAAAGAGTTGATGGACATTTTTCTTCTTTCTTTCTATTTGTTGTGAAACTAAAATGCCTCGGAAAAGTATCAGTATGCCTTAAACCGTTTCCTATATTTTCACAACACAACTACAAACTGAAATTTGTATTCATCTCTCCTTTTACTAGAGCAAATCTAAGCAGCACATGATTATGAAGTATAAAGATCATGTGTGATCTTCTATTTTTATGTATGTAATTAGTCTTCTTTCCTTTTATGCCAGTAACTTAAATCCTGAAATGTAGTTCCACAGTTAATGACTAACTTTTCAAATCTTTAGGTTGAAATTTGAACCCAATCTTCTTTTATTAAAGTTCAATCATAATCTGAAAGGGGAATATTATGTTATTGTCTTGACCATGGTGTAGGTGTGGAATTTGGACCTTTTTGAAAAGTATGCTTGGATGCGAGGCCTTCAGCTGTAGCGCCTGCTGTGTCTATGGTCATCTTCCTTATGAAAAACGAATCTTCATTCTCGATCTGAAGTTTCTTGCTGCCTTTAATATTATTTGCTTACTGCAGTGCCCCATATTCAGCTCCATTGACTCCAACTAGCTTTACTGTCTGACCAACAAACAAATAGCAAAAAAAAAAACACTTTCCCATCCCATGCTAGGTTCACATTTTCATAAATGTGCTCAGTTAGATTGTTTTTGCCACAAATAGCCCTATATGCACACTACTTGGTCCTATCAGAGCAGAGCCCCTTACTCTACAAACTTTTGTGTTCAAAGTGGACTTCATATAGCTTCCTTGACAACAATTTCTTTATTACTAATCCTTGAAGGCCAGATTTGTGGAGTGTATTCTTGAATAGTCATCAGAGTGCCACTTAATTTGTGCCACTTTAGAGCTTTTTTCAGATTTCTCACATAAGGTTGGGCTACTTATCTGGTTTAAATTCTCCACAATATCCTTGAGCCCTGAATAACATTTATTTTACCATTTCATTTAATATTTTAACATTTTATTTAGGGGAATTTGAATTAATTAAGCCAAATTCAAATCATTTCCACAACTTTTGGTTTGTTATTTGTATTATTTATAAGGTTTAAATATCATTATGCATTTGGCAGACACTCTCCTCACAAACCAAGATCACTAGACAGGCAGTGTCAAAGGTGATATTGTAGAAACTTTGTATGCACACAAGAAGAGCACACACAGATAGGAGATGCTCTCTTAAAGGAGGGCTGTTCAACATGTGCTTGAAGATGAAGAGAAGATGGAAGATAGAATACTTCTGCAAGGCACTGTATGGCAAACATCTTGTTACCACAATGACATCATTTTCTCTCATTCTTGCTCTACACTTTACTAATACTATATACTGTAGCATATTAAAGTTATGATGTGTTTTTAGTCACTACAAAAAGCCTTCAGCAAAACACATCATCGATAGAGCAATTTGGTAAAGACAGAGAGAGGAATCAGAGTGCTCTCTCCTCCGTGGTGCAGCTCTCTATCCGATTGCTCTGCTTGCCTGAAAGCTTTCTGCTTCCTGATTATGCAACATCAAGATACACGAGTCACCTCAATCAATGCATCATGCTTACAGCATTATAACTGTGTACACACCGGTCTGTGCTATGCAGAATGTCAGTGTCACCAGAGCCACCAAAGCACAATAACAGAAGCTGTGCTCAGGTTGCCTTATAAAATATATAAAACAGTTTTATTGTACAGAAAAGGACATAAATAAGCCCAAGATTCAGTTAGGTTTGCTATTTACTGCAACAAATAAGTGAAATATGATGTAATAAAAGGAGTCGTAACGGCAAAATTCTCAGGGCTAAGCCAGTTTCAGGTTATTAATCTGTAAAGCTGGATTCAAAAAGAAGTACTGTTGGTTATTTATAGATTTCTGGCTGTCAATCAAGAATATTTATAAATTCAGGGAATCAGAAAGACTTTTTTTTTTTTTTGCACAATTTTTTGTTTAGAAGCTAAACCGGACGGCGGACATTGATTGTGCTCAACAATGAGATCACAGATTCCCTTAAAAAACGCAAAGAGGGGCAGCGCCTTGGAAGGCAGCAAGGCCTCCAACACCGTTCCCTTGGACAGCTTGTTCCAAAATTGAAACTTCCCCCACTTTTTCGAGTTGTGGTTTTGCAACAAGGTGTCTAAAGGCTTCATTTTTAACTAATTACATTCTCCTTTAGATGTTGACAGAAAGTTGGTTCATATCTCTGAGTTTCAGAATCAGAATCAGAAATACTTTAATAATCCCAGAGGGAAATTACTTTTGTTACACGCTCTAGTTACAGTTTTACATGATATATACACACATCCAACTATACAATATAATAAGATAAAAAATAAGAATAAAAAGAGATAAAATATATATACACATATAGCTCTTCTGTACATATATCTGTATGTATATCTATGTATATGTAAAAACTAAATCCAAATAAAGTGAAAAGTCCAATTAAAGTGAATAAATCCAAGTAAAGTGATATGTGGCGTGCAAAAATAGTGCATAAATGTCAATTACGGACGGGGGGGGGGGGGGGGGGGGGGGTGGCTGAATCACTTGAGGGAGGCGTTATATAGGTTGATGACCACAGGTAGGAATCATTTCCTGTGGCGCTCTGTGGAGCATCTGGGTAGGAGGAGTCTTCTGCTGAAGGAGCTCATCTGCTGGACCAATGTGTCAAGGAGAGGATGTGAGTCATTGTCTAAGATAGACTGAAACCTGGACAGCATCCTCCTCTCTGCCACGGTGGTCAGGGTGTCCAGTTGCTCCCCCACAACATCACCGGCCCTCTTGATCAGTTTGTTCAGTCTGTTGTTTTCAGCGACCCTCAGCCCACTGCCCCAGCATGTGACAGCAAAGAAGAGCGTGCTAGCAACAACAGACTCATAAAACATCCTCAGCATGGTCCCACAGATGTTAAAGGACTTCTGCCTCCTCAGGAAGAATAGTCGGCTTTGGCCCTTTTTGTAGACCGCCTCGGTGTTTCTAGTCCAGTCCAACTTATTGTTAAAGTACACTCCCAGGTACTTATACTCCTCCACAGTGTCAACAGGAACCCCCTGGATGGAAACAGGGGTCACAGGTGTTTTTGTCCTCCTCAGATCCACTATGAGCTCCTTAGTCTTTGTCACATTGAGCTGCAGGTGGTTCAGCTCACTCCAAGTGACAAAGTTGCCCACCACGGTCCTGTATTCACTCTCCTCACCCTTTTCAATGCAGCCAACAATTGCTGAGTCATCAGAAAACTTCTGAAGGTGGCAGGACTCAGAGCAATAGCTGAAGTCCGAGGTGAAAAGGGTGAAGAGGAAGGGGGAGAGGACAGTCCCCTGAGGCGCCCCAGTGTTGCTGACCACCCTGTCAGACACACAGTTCTGTAGGCGTACATACTGTGGTCTGCCCGTCAGGTAATCAACAATCCAGGACACGATGGGGGCTTCCACCTGCATCGCAGTCATCTTCTCATTGTCATTAAGAGCTTTTTTATGTCTGAATGATTTATAGGGAAGGGAATCAACAAACAAAATAAACCCATATAATAGCTCAGCAATGGACAGAAAACAGCAGCTAAAGCCAAAGTAAAAACTTTGAAACACCTTCAGGAAACCCAACTAGTATCGCAAAAGCTAATTAAAAGTGAACTTTTGAGAAAAATGTGAAGCTCAAAGCACCAGTAGATGTTCTGATCTCATTGGTTTATTCATTTTTCATCTTTTATTAAGTTTATTACTGTAAACATCCCTCTGCTTGTCTAATGTATTCATGATTGTCCCCAGGCGTGCTTATCTGACAATGCAATAAAGTATATTTTGAAACACAGGGATCAGATTAAAAATTAAATTTTTATCCTCCAAACTGTGTGATGATAAAATAAACCTCAGACTTTACCCTACCTCCTTTGTCACTGTTTTTATTTATTGGTATGATCGTCGATGGGAGCAAATTGAGGTGAGAAATAATTTTTGTATCACTTTTCCAGACTTTTAAACAACACATCATTTTCTTTTGTTAACAGTTTTGAATGATAGCTAAGTCAGATCAGGTTTATACCTCAGGAAAACAACATCATGAGTTACAAATCAATATTTTCTAAACATTCTTATCAAAACAATAAATCCTTTGCCTGGCACATTTTATTTATAAAAAGTTTCTGAGATTTTGTAAGTGCAATAAAAGACACATTTCTATTAAGGTTTTTTACACAACCTTACCAGAAATGCCAATAAACATGTACCTCCAAGTAAGACAGGTTTTATCTTGATTGCAAATTTCATTATAGGCTAAATAGAAAACAAAGAATTGTCATAAAAAACAAATATGTTCCTTTTTTTATGACTAGCACAGAAATGAATGAAAAACAAAAAGCTAAGTGATCTGGAAAAAAAATAAACA